CTGTGGATGGGGTCTTCGGCTTCTGCTGCGGCGACGCTCGAGGCGCCCGAGGCGCGGGCGGGTTCGACTCGCCCGGGGGGCGGCGGAGGTGGCCATCAAGCGGGCGCGTTTCACAGCTCAGTCCCCGCGGCTGGTCTCATTGGATCAGCTGGGCGACTGCGAGGGGCAGCCCGCCGCCGAGTGGGCCGCGCAGATGCCGGAGGGTTGCCGCGAGCGGATCTCGTCGGAGGTGCTGGTCGACGTCTACTCGACGGGGAAGACGGCGGAGGCGCGGGCTCGGGGCGCCCTCGGGGGCCCATGGGGCGCCGAGCGGCTCGGGAGATGGCGGCCGCCACCGGTGCCGTGGATGCGATGCTGATGACGGATTGGCAGTAGGGCTTGCTGAATCAGGCGGTCTTCAAGCGGCCGGCGAGGAAGGGGCGCGCCCTGGTCCGCGCGCGCCGCGACGCCCACTGCAGGGGCGACTGGGGCCGCCGAAGGGCGCCAAGAGCTGGGGGGCCAAGGTGGATTGGGGGGCCTCTCGCCGCCTGGGCCCCCAGCTCTCGGGGGAGGGGGCCGAGGGTGATGAGCGCGGAACAGGAGATGAAGAGGGCCACGGGTCGGGATGCGCAGCTGACAAAGGCGCAAGCAGGCCTCGACGGCGGGGGGTCGGCCCCGCCATGGGCCGCTCTGAGCCTCAGTTGGGGTCCGCTGCGCCAGCTGCGCGGCGGAGCCCGCCCAGGCGTCGGTCGCTCCCGGGCAGCTGGTGGCTTTCTTCCAGATTCTTCGACCACTTGAGGTCGGGGTCCTTTGTCGAGCGTGACTGGGGTATCTGCGTGTTTGCGCGCGAGGCGAATTTGAATTTCCATGTCGAGGTGGCGGGGCATCCTGTCCGAGGTGACTCTCTTCCCCAAGCCCGCTCGGCGCCCATATTCCTCGAGGGGTGTGGCCACGCGGTGGAGGTCGGAGGCGGTGTTGCTGAGCCGTGCGGACCGTGGCCTCCTCGCCCTGCGCCATGCTGCACCCGGGGAGTTTCAACGGCGAGCTTCTTTCGCGCCGGCTATCGCGGGTCCAGAGGGGGGGGCGCTGGACAGCGCGGGCAGCGACCTCGCGAAGCGTGCGCTGAGCGAGGCGCGCCGGTTGCAACCGCCGTCGTCGACGCCCTCTGGAGGAGCCGCGATGCTGCGGCTGCGTCCTGCCGCATCGGCGGCGGACCGCCAGTCACAGTAAGCCCGCGCGCAGATGGTCGCCGAGCCGGGGGGGGGGCCGGTTGGCGCCCGCGAAAAAAAACATGAGCGCCATTCGGTTCCCCAGATACTCCCACTGACCCGTCAGAACCACGTCGTCGGGCAGGGGAGCCTCGCTCGCCTTCATTGTGGGCAGAGCATAGTGGGGCGCCAGCTCCTCACCCGGGTCGAGGGTGCAACGGAAGTCGGGAAGGTCGCCCGTGCGGAACTTCATCTCCGCGCCTGGCTCCCCCACCGAGACATCGAGATGGGGCATGGCGCTCGCTCCTCCCATGGCACGCCGTCGCGGCCGCTGCCTGCGCAAATTGGGGCGCCGCTGATCGAAGGCCAGCCTCAAGGCGACCTCGACCTTGGAACCGACCACCTCGGCGATCTTCACCACGCAGAAAAGCGCGACCTCGTCGACCTTTTCCTCGCGCCTGCGCAGCATGCCTGCCGAGGCCATCCGCTTTGCCAGGCCCATCATGTTCTTCTCCCAGCGGAAGTGCCGATCCACGCAGTTCGTTACCTCGGCACTCTGCGCGGGCTCCTCGCCATCCGTCTTCAGCATCTCCGTCTGGAAGCCCTCCAGTTTCTGTGCCGCCCGAGGCGACGCAGACATTGCACTGACTGGCCTCGAACCAGGGGGAGGTGGGGCCACCCGATCCCATTGGGCTGGGAACATCTCGCCCCGACCCATAATCCAGCCGCGCCACGTGCGGCACGTTCGGGGCACGTGCAGAGTGTCAGGTGCGCCTGCGCAGGTGACAGCACACATCTGGAAACGCGTCTGCCCCCACCGCACATGTCAAAGACCAGTGCACGTCACTGTGTTTGGTGGGCCTGCGCAAAGCAGGCCATGCGCCATCACTGATCGCGGGGTGGCCGCGCACGATCCAGATCTAGCAGCGAGGTGCATTTTTTGTCAGGCAATATGCTGACACCCGCGCTGTCCCTGTCAACATACCGTACAAAGTGCCCGTGGACCTTGAACCTTGACTTTCCCGCAAACTGTATTTTGTATTGTTTTGGACAGGGATGGTGGGGGAGTGGCCCTCATGGGGTTATCATTGTTCTTGGTTGGCTCTCGGTCGCCTGGGGGAGGGGGTGTATATTAATAGGGAACAATGATACCCACCCCCGCCGAAGGGGCAGAAAGGGGGTTGGAAGAGGAGCTTCTCGAGACCACCTACGCGCAGAGGGCTGGTGGGACTTTGAGAGGTCCGCGCGGTCCTCTTTGGTCGGCGACGGGAGCCTCTCACCGCACCCCTTCTCCGACGGGCGGAGCGGGCCAGAAACCCAGAGGTCTGGACACCTTCCCTGGGCATTTTTTTGTATTCTTTACCTAACAGCGAAGACTGATAGGTTTCTAGTGGTTTCGAAAGAGAGCATCATGACTCCCCAGAGGGAGTCTGGGCAGATGCCGGACGGGTGCCGCGGGAATCCGGTGACTGCCGCGGGAATCCGGGGATTCCCCATTTTCACTGCCAGGAACCATATTTTGATTGCCCGGAGCCAACTGAACACCACACCCAGGCCACATTTTGAATGCCTGGAGCCAACTGTAGGCCACTGAACACCACTCCCAGGCCACATTTTGAATGCCCGGAGCCAACTGTAGGCCACTTCGTTTTCTTCGTTTTCCCAGAACAGAATTCCTAGGCCACATTTTGAATGCCCGGAGCCAACTGTAGACCACTTCGTGTTCTTCGTGCTCCCAGAAACCGCCCGGAGTCAACTGTAGGCCACTTCGTGTTCTTCGTGTTCCCAGCACATCACTCCTGCACCAGTCATGTGCCATATTTCGAATGCCCGAGCGGAGGCAGGCTGAGGCCGAGGCAGGCTGAGGCCGAGGCAGGCTGAGGCTGAGGCGCACGCCGAGGCAGGCTGAGGCTGAGGCTGAGGCTGAGGCAGGCTGAGGCTGAGGCAGGCTGAGGCTGAGGCTGACGCAGGCTGAGGCCGAGGCAGGCTGAGGCTGAGGCTGAGGCAGGCTGAGGCTGAGGCTGAGGCAGGCTGAGGCTGAGGCTGGGGCCGAGGCAGGCTGAGGCTGAGGCCGAGGCAAGCCGAGACAGGCTGAGGCTGAGGCTGAGGCTGATGCTGAGGCAGGCTGAGGCTGGGACAGGCTGAGGCTGAGGCTGAGGCAGGCTGAGGCTGAGGCAGGTTGAGGCTGAGGCCGAGGCAGGCTCAGGCCGAGACAGGCTGAGGCTGAGACTGAGGCTGAGGCTGAGGATGAGGCCGAGGCAGGCCGAAGTTGACACAAGGTGAGGCTGAATGGGGGGGGGGGGGAGGAGGGGAGATTGAGGCAGGCTGAGGCCGAGGCAGGCTGAGGCCGAGGCAGGCTGAGGCTGAGGCTGAGGCACGCCGAGGCACGCTGAGGCTGAGGCTGACGCAGGCTGAGGCTGAGGCATGCTCAGGCTGAGGCTGACGCAGGCTGAGGCCGAGGCAGGCTGAGGCTGAGGCTGAGGCAGGCTGAGGCTGAGGCCGAGGCAGGCTGAGGCTGAGGCTGAGGCTGAGGCTGAGGCTGAGGCTGAGGCAGGCTGAGGCTGAGGCTGAAGCTGAGGCAGGTTGAGGCATCCGTAGGAATCCATAGGAATCCTTAAGAATCCGTAGGCATCCTTAGGAATCCGTAGGCATCCTTAGGAATCCGTAGGCATAGTTAAGCATCCTCAGGAATCCTTAGGAATCCTTAGGATTCCACTGGATCCTAAGGCCGTTGCCACTGCGACTGTCATTGCGAATGCGACTGCGACTGCGAGAACAGCAGAATTCTACAACTGGATTCTCACCTGAATCTTAAGGGGAATGCTTCCAGATATGCTTATACACATCGCTGTTAGGTTGCTTTGCTGGGATAATTTTGTTTTGTTTGTTTTCTTGTGTCCCGAGTAGTTTCGTTGACGGGGGGCTCTGCAGGGGCGCCTGGAAGCCTGAACCGCCCACCACCTCCTCCCGTCCTGGTTTCTCACGGCGTGGGCCCCAGGAAGTCTGGCCCTGCAGCCGCTTCGCGATGGCCCCCGCAAGCTCCGGAGCCGGCCTCCGAATGCACAAGCGGGCGAGCAGCTGGCCACGCCGATTCTTCCGAGCCCCCAGGACGCCCGGACTCCTCCCGCCCCGACCCCCCCCCCACCGCTCGGGCCTTGCGTATTGTCACGGCCAGAAAATCACTCAAAGGTAAATTTTTGGCATCAGAACGAAGCCTTCGCCCTGCCCCTCCCCGCTTCGCTCCTCCTGAGCTCGGCGCGGCCTTCCGTGGGCGTCGATCGCAGGGCACACCCGAGCTTTTTGTCATTGCGTCGCCCCCGCCGAGGCCTGGCCAGGAATCGCCCTGACAAAAAGTTTACATTGCCAGAACGCGCATCACATCTGCCGCAACAAGTTATCGGGCTCCCCGAAACAGGCCGCGACAATGGTTGAAATGGGCATCGCCCATGAAAAGTTTTACAGGGCCTTGAATCTGAGATATCCTTTGCCCGACCCCGCCTCCCCGCCCAAGCGAAAGCATGGGCTGTGCAACCCCTGGAAGCGACGGGCGAGGCGTCAGTGAACACGGCGACGATATTCGGATAAAGCAATCTGGGGACGGATCCAAACGAGGAGTCATTGAACAGTTTGATTTACATGTTTATGTTTTCCCCGTTGCTGATGAGGGGGCGGCACATGGGGGGTTGTGAAGGGTGCGCCTTGATGCGTCCAAGGGAGCTAGAAGGGGCTCAGATGGGGCACGAACGGTGCAGGTTTCTTCACCCGCACATTTACCGCCCCCACATTAAGCAACGCCCAACCCGCGGCCGCCAGATGCGGAACATCAGCCCCGCTGGAGAGCCGCGCCCGAGGAGCGCCGCGGCCGCCGCCGCCGCCCCCGGTGGGCCCCTAGGGCGTTCCCCTCGGCACCCGCCCGCGTCGGGCGGTTCTCCCCCGAGCGGGCCTCTACCGCGTGGCATCGCTCGGACGTTTGCGTTTTTCTCGCCGAGGCCGTCGCGAGAATCTGGGCCATCTTGGACCATCTTCCCGAATCCCGAATCAGTGCTTGCATTCACGGGTTCTTTTTATGGTTAAGCAACTTGGCCTGCGGGCCGGTCTGGCGGCTATGTCGCCGCCGTCGCCGCCCCGTCGCCTTTTCGTCGCCCCCCGTCGTCTGGGCCTTCGGGCTGGCCTGGCGGCTATGTCGCCGCAGTCGCCGCCTCGTCGCCGCAACAAGGACTGCGCCACATACGTTGTCCGGTCGAACAATTAATAGGATCTACCCCCCGTCCAGAATTAACGGGCCACCTTGGCGAATTGCAATTTTCATACGATGCTGCCCCATAGTCCATCGTACATGCAAATTCGTACCATCATAGGCAGGCTAGGATCCTCTCTTCATCCTCTGTGCGAAAAGCATACGCCCACTCGTTTATCATAATTCAGCATTTGTCATAACTCGCTTGCAAAAAATGCGACCAAGTACGCAGGCTCGCGTCGTCGCGCGCGCATGCCGAAATCCTTAAACAAACCTTCGGCTTCCCTGCCGAACGCCGAAATCCTTAAACAAACCTTTACTGCATGCCGAATGCCGAAAGGATTTCAAACTCGAGTGCCCTGAAAGCATACAACAAATCTTGTTTTGCAGCACGGATTTCCAAACAAAGCCTTGCGCTCGAGTTCCCACGCGTTCTTAACAACACCATCGTTTTTTTAACATGTTTACAACATGCTACCAATCGGGCCTCTCGCGCGCGCATGTCGAAGTCGGTCGAACGCCCTTGGACGCGTGCTGTCGCAGGAATATTATGCAACAGCTTGGACGAAGTGCGCGCGCCCGTCGTCGCGCGCGCATGCCGTCGTCCGTCTCGTAGGGGTTTCAAAACCGAGAGTCCCGAACACATCTTCAAACACAAAAATACGGTTTTGCAACATCGGTTTTCAAGCATGCCTGCGCTCGTGCTTCTTCTAGTTCCCAACCATCCTGTGCTGTTGGGTCCTCGTGTTGAAGAGACCGCGCCACGCGTCCCTCCCTCCCTCCCTCCCCCCCGCCTCCTCCTCCTCCTCCTCCTCCTCCTCCTCCTCCTCCTCCATCCTCCCCCTTTTCCCTGCCTTCATAATGTCTCTGTTTCAACACACCCCTCACACGTTTCGTGGCCCTGTAGGGAGCTCCTACTAAGGCCTTGGCATCTCTCGGACATGTGCATTTTTCCTTTGGCGAGGACCATCGAGGAGCATCCTTGATCATGTGGCGAAAAACCACACACGAAACCAAAAACTACATAGGGAAAAGACGTCCAGCGATGGCCAGAGGCCCCAGTGGCGCAGTTCGCATGGCGCCGCCGCTCCATTTCGGCACCCTTCTGACGCTTCGTGGCAGGGAGCTCCACCTAAGGTCCCAGCGGCGCAGCTCGCATGGCGCCGCCGCCCCATTTTGGGACACCCCTCACGCTTCGTGGCCCTATAGGGAGCTCCACCTAAGGCCCCAGTGGCGCAGCTCGCATGGCGCCGCCGCCCCATGTCGGCACACACCTTACAAGTTTCGTGGCCCCAGAGGGAGCTCCACCTAAGGCCCCAGCGGCGCAGCTCGCATGGCGCCGCCGATTCATTTGTGGCACACCCCTCTCGCGTTTCGTGGCCTCATTTGGAGCGCCACCTAAGGTCCCAGTGGCGCAGCTCGCATGGCGCCGCCGCTCCATTTTGGCACCCCCTGTACACGTTTCGTGGCCCTATAGGGAGCCCCACATAAGGCTCCAGTGGCGCAGCTCGCATGGCGCCGCCGCCCAATTTCGGTACACCGCTCACATGCTTCGTGACCCTATAGGGAGCGCCACCTAAGGTCCCACTGGCGCAGCTCGCATGGCGCCGCCGCCCCGTTCTGGCACACCCCGCATACGTTTCGTGCCCGCACACGGAGCTCCACCTAAGGTCCCAGTGGCCAGCTCGCATGGCGCCGCCGCCGCCCCATTTTGGCACAAACCTCGGACGTGGAGGTCCACCTGAGGTCCAAGTGGCGCAGCTCGCATGGCGCCGCCGCCCCGTTTTGGCACACCCCTTACACGCTTCGTGGCTCTATGGGGAGCTCCACCTACGGCTCCAGTGGCGCAGCTCGCATGGCGCCGCCGCTCCATTCCGGCACACCCCTTACACGCTTCGTGGCCCCAGAGGGAGCTCCACCTAAGGTCCCACTGGCGCAGCTCGCATGGCGCCGCCGATTCATTTGTGGCACACCCCTCGCGCGTTGCGTGGCCCCACAGGGAACTCCACCTAAGGTCCCCAGTGGCGCAGCTCGCATGGCGCCGCCGCCTCGTTCTGGCACACCCCTCACACGTTTCGTGCCCCAGAGGGTGCTCCACCTAAGGTCCCAGCGGCGCAGCTCGCATGGCGCCGCCGATTCATTTGTGGCACACCCTCTCGCGTTTCGTGGCCTCATTGGGAGCGCCACCTAAGGTCCCATTGGCGCAGCTCGCATGGCGCCGCCGCTCCATTTTGGCACCCCCTGTACACGTTTCGTGGCCCTATAGGGAACCCCACATAAGGCTCCAGTGGCGCAGCTCGCATGGCGCCTCCGCTCCATTTTGGCACAAACCTCAAACGTGGAGCGCCCCCTAAGATCCCAGTGGCGCAGTTCGCATGGCGCCGCCGCCCCATTTCGGCACGCCCCTTGTACGCCTCGTGGCCCCATAGGGAGCTTCGCGTAAGGTCCCAGTGGCGCAGCTCGCATGGTGCCGCCGCCCCGTTTTTGATGGGAGATCGTGACGCATGTGGGCAGATGAAACCCGATGATCGTAGACCTCGGCAGGAAAGGTATCATAAAGGACACATGATTGGGTCCTACTGGGACACCGTGGCGCGCTGGATGAACACGCGTGCCCAGCGGGACGCGAACGTCCTGAAGACGTCCTACTTCCTCGTGCAGGCCGCTGACAGGTCTGCCCCGAAGAAAGCCGGCGGCATGCGCGGATTGCGCCCGGCGCGCATGGTGGCGCTGGGCCTCAAGAGCGGCTTCGTCAAGGGTGCCGAGGGGCAGATCGGGCACGTCGTCGTGGACCTTCGGGATCGGGGTGACGTCGGGAAAGCCGAGAGAGACGGGGAGAAGAGGATTTATCTGAAGAACTTGCCGCTGGGGTTCTTGGTGCGCATGGGGAAGTACGCGAGCGCGCCCTACGCGCGCGACCTCAAGCGCCGCGACGATACCCTCGCGGGGGCCCTCACGGGCCCGCTGGTGTTCATCGGGCCTCGCACGTCGGAGCCGTTCGCGTCCCGCGCCTCCAAGGCCGCCCGAACGGGCTTCTCGTTCTCGCGCGGCAGGGCCATCGCCGCGGCGGCGTGCCATGGGCGCGCCGTGCGCGACGGCGACGGGGCGAGGGGGCGGCGCCCCCCGGGCAGTCTACGGCCATGAGCCGGAGCGGTCCGCGGCCAGACCTTCTCTTGGCCCCGTGGACTCGCCCTGGGCCGTCGGCTGTCCGGCGCGCTGCCCAATCGGCCGACGTCGCCCAGGCGCAATCCTGGACTGCGGCCGCCGCGAGGTGGGGGACGGCAAGCAGGAGGGCGACGATTGGTGGCAAGAGTTCCACGCGCTGCTCACGCGCGCCACGCGCCACGAGGACCCGCCCCCGCGGGCGCCGCGCGTCGAGTTTCTACTGGCAGGGCCGCCGGAGGGCTTGCGGACGCAGCTGGGGCAGTTTGCCACGCGCGCGACGCGGCGCAGGAGGGGCGCGGCGGCCCTCGCCAGGGAGCTGAGCTTCGCCGACTTGAACCGCGAGGCTTGACCGGGGGAGCGGCCCGCCCGAGCCTCGCCGTCTCTCGACGGTCTGACTGTTCGGCCTCGCGCCGCGGGCGACCCGCGCGCGTCGCTGGGGCCCTCTCGGGGCGACCAGCGGGCGTCGCGGGAATACCGCGCGGCGTTTTGCCCAGAGCCTCGCTCGCATCCGTCGTCGCTCTGCCCGGCGGCCGCAGCTTTGTCCGCTATCGGCCAGCCAGCTAGCTCTCTCTGCTCCGCGCAGCGGACGACCCGCGCGCGTCGCCGGGACCCTGCCGTGGCGACCGACGCGCGTCGCGGGGGCTCCGTGCGGCGCCGCGCCCGCAGCCGTGGACGCGGGCGTGCGCGGGCAATGAGGGGAAAAATAACGGGAAGGAAGCGGGCGCGATCTTCGCGAGGAGCGCGCCGACATGGGCGTCGCGGCGCGCGGGCGTTGCTGTCGGGGTTCCAGGGGGGGGGTTCCTGCGGCGGCCACGCTCAGTGTCGCGAGTGCTCAGGGTCAGGCGTGCGCGAACCATTCACAATCGTACATATACACACCAGGCGTGGCCGTGCTCTCATGCATGCAAATATATTCACTCGCGCGCAGACTCATTATCACTCAGACTCACTCGCGCTAAGACCTGGCTGGTTCCCTTCGTTCATCGGGCCTTCCGCGAGCAAGAAAAACGAACAATTCAAAAACAAGAATAACAAGAAAAGCAAACAATACAAATGCATGGCAGGGAATATTTCCTAAAATGGTGGACATGTGATAATTCTCATAAAATATTTGTTTAGTTCCTAATTGTTGTGGGTTATATAGGCCATATATATGAACGGATATTGGTATTTAGTAGCGTTGTGAATTAATTGTTTTGATACTGTTAATCCGGGTAGTAGCAGTAGTGGAAATAATCATATAGCGTGTAATGTATTCACACATATAGGTGTGCATTGTATACATGTATGAATTCACGCATACATGCGTACATACATGCATGCATGCATGCATGCATGACTGCATACATCCTTACACACATACATACATAACGAGGCCCCCTGGCCGCGCCCAAGGACCACGGCGGCGCATGGGAGGACCAGGGCCCCCAGCGCTTTCCTGATTGCCCC